CTCCTCGGAGTGTGCTGGGTGCTGGCCGCGGGGACGGCGGCAGGTAGGAACGGGAAAGGCTGCCGGGGAAAGGCTGCCGGGGAAAGGCTGCCGGGGAAAGGCTGCCGGGAAAAGGCTGCCGAGAAAGGCTGTCGGGGAAGGGGAGCCGGGGAAGGGCTGCCAGCTGCGCTCCGTGTCTGCAGGCGCGGTGCTGGTGCTGGAGCGGCCGCTCCGGGCTCTCCCCTATCGCGGTTCGGGCAGCTCGGCCGTGGCTCCGCGCACACGCGGGCATGGATGTAAGGGAAATGCTTTCATTTTGTAGTAGAAATCGCCCGAAGCTCGTCAGCCGTGTGCGAGGCAGCGCCGGCTGCGCGCCCTGCCCTGCCGCTTGCCGGGAGTGGGGATGGTGAAAATCTGCTCTCCTCTTTCAGCAAGACAGCTCTTAACAGGATCGGCACAAATGTTTTAAGCTCTATCCTCGTTTCCCGAGACTGTTTCTGCCTTAAAACCCCAAGCAGGTCCCTCGCTCTTCTCCCGGTGCCCGTGTCTTGCGGCGGTGCGGGAGCGGCTCCGCCGGGCTCGGACATGCAGAGCCTCCCTCGCCCTCTGTCTTCGCTCTTCCTTTAGTATTCCCGATTTTGGAAGCACGAATGTTTAGTTTTATGAAAGATGCCTGCATGTCTGTGAGGACTTTATAAGGACCCGGCCTTGAAGCTTTACTCTCTGTTCATGTTATCCAGAAACCCAGCTGCAGACATTATTGTTATGTCTGCAATTCAGTTTATCACTATGAAATCAACTTTCAGAAAATGCAGGAGGACAAAAATGTGATGAGTTTTTTACTACTTTGCAACACTCACATGGTACTTGATGCAAAAAATTTACTGATGTTTCCTCGTTAGGGCTTTGAGAAATAATACGTTTTCTATGCTTCACCTAATCTCTTCTGGCTACTGCTATGATTTTTTTCTTAGAAGCACCATCGTGGTTTTGCATTTTAAGAATGAAATAATGGCTTGCCTACATTTTGTAGTTGGTCATTGAGTTGTTCTGCAAGATTGCTACAGAAATTTTAACAAGAGCATGAGACTGTATTTTACACAGACAGAAGTATGAGATTGGCCTAACTTATGAATAAAAGCTAAATTAAAAACATTAAAACACAAGCTTCAGAATTCTGTAGATCAATTGAAAACCTACTAGATTTAAACTTTTTATAACAATACAATTTAATAATTAATTTATAAACTGTGAATAGTAACATTTCTTTGTGTGGCAATTAATCTGCAAACTTAAGCATAATGGCTTCTAATCAAACCTATTACAAGAAAATGTTTAGAACTTCAGAATAGCTATCGGGGATGATATTTTTAAAATGATTTGTGGCTGTTGTAGGTAAAAGTTCAATCATGACAAGATGGAATGCTTGGAACTGTGTACTTGTTTTGTTGAAAAACTTTTTTTTTTTTTACATGATCAAGAAGACACAGTATTTACAAACTTAATGCCCCACGGCTGTTCTTTTAGCCCATCCTAAGTTTTTGTTAGTGGAAAGTGTAATAGGCAAAGATGGGTTTGCTACATTCAGTTTTCTCACTGGAGACTATATTTTTCTAAGAACAAAAATGTCTCTTTTCTACTCTAACAAAAAATCCCAAAGATTTTAAGTATTCAAACAAATTAAATATATTCAGACTAAATCAGTAAATCTTTGTAATTATTTTCATTATCTGTGCAAGCATCCATTATCTGTGCATACACATGGATGGTAATGGTGCCTGATCTCTACCATTACCTGTCCTTGAATTATGCAAAGGACTGAGAGAGCTCCAGAAGTTTGATGAATTCCCTTCAAGATTTGGCTGCTGTGGCTTTTGGGAAATGTAAGATAATGATGTCATGGATGCTTTGAGCAGAACTCTTGCTCAAGGAAGCTCTTTTGCTTCTCTATCTTCCCTCTTCCTTGTGCTAGCAGAAGGAAATGGGGCAGCACTGTGACCTGGATGGGAAAACTGATCTTGATGGAATTATTCTGCCCTTTTTCTATGAGCTCTCTTGAATGTTGGGATGGGTTGAGCTTGGTTCCAGGGGACAGCAAGACCTGCAGCACTCGCTGATATCTGTTTGAAGCGTTTGTGAAACCACTGGGTGATGAGGGTACGCTCTGCCCGCAGACAAGCAAGTGGTGGTGCCTCAGTGATGACAGCCTGAGAAACAGTCTCGTTTGGCTTCTGGTTCAGCAGATAAATATTATCATTTATCATCATAAATATTAGAGTAGCCCTTTAAAAAAACAAAATCAACTTTCACTTTCTTAGGGAATTCCCTTGGTTACAGTTTCTAGAATCAATGTCTGATACATACTTTACTTTTTCCTGGAAGTTTGCCATTTTCTGTCATATTTCCCTTCTTTGTTTTCTAATATGACCTTCAAGCTGTTGTGATAGTTCTTGAGTAGGCATTGACTCAGTGCACAAGATCAGGAGCAGTCAATGCACAAATGGATTTATTGCTGTGACCGAGTCGTGGCCCTGCTCTGCTTCTCACTGGCTTTTGGGGAGGTTAAAAAATGTACCACTGAAGTGTGTCAGCAGTGAATCACCACTCATCCCACACTGGTTTTGTTCACTGTGCTGGAACATAGCATTGTATTTTTAATAGGTAATTGAGAAAGTGGTGTGGTTTCCTTGTTTTTTAACATTCTTGCATTTGCAGTCTTTGCTTAAATTGTGTTTCTAACATACAGCTTTTTGCAAGATGTAATCACTTGTCTTTTTAATGATTTCTCTTTAAAACTATGCTGATGGATAACTTTTGGGGAGAACAAAGCATTAATTGCTCTGTAAAATGTATATATTGTTTTTACTAAAGTTTCAGCACATAATTCATCCTCCCACAACATGCAAAAGCTTAAGTACCACAACCACTGCATTGCTGAAGGCTACAATTTCTTAAAAATTACTTTTCAGTTAATTTGTGCATATTTAAATTATTAATGAGTTGAGGTAACAAGAATAATAGAAACACTTTAGTGGGCAGTACCTGATACCAAATATGAGCTGACAAATTTGTCAGATTTGTGCTCTTTTCTGTCTGAGTTAAAAATCCACCTGTATTACTAATGGTAAAGTGTGAGTCAATAGGATTGTTATACTGGTAACTCCTTTCTTCCAGGAGCAAAAATTCTTCCATCTCCATCCAACTTGACCTATTCATTTATCCATATCTGTACTCTGAACTGGACATGGAACCCCCCAGAGAACATCAGTAGTAGCTGCAACTTGGAGTATTCCAGTGACATCATCATCAATGGGGTTCCTGAGGACAGAAAAGTGAGTACATCACCTCTTTAAACTCTGTTTCAGTAAATGTCTTAATGCTATAAAACTCCGTGTGGGAGAGCATATACACATATATAAATACAATTTTAATGTAGCATTTCGTTCTTATCATGGGATCAAAACCTCAAAAATGAATCATACCAGCATAAGGGATCTTCAGAAAAATCTGTCTGTTGCTCTCTGATAACTGAGTGCTGATGATAACACAGACGTACTGTAATAATAATGGGAAAAGTCTCGTTTCAGTCTTTGCTTATGCAGCTTTCTAGAAAAAATAGACACATGGCAGTCTACATCCTTAAGAGTTAAATGGGAATTTGCAAAGGCTTTTCTCCTTTACTTTGAACTCAGTTTAAAGATGTGCAGATTTAGCTGTGGTTTGACAACATTGCATCTTTTGGAGGTAATGCCAAGAATTAACATTACCCCATTTACCCTCTGTCTGCAATTACAGTTATTTATGGCGGGGTTGTGTTTTGAAGATAACATGGAGCATGTTTGTTGCCTGGAACAGAAGTCATATAACTCATTTGTTTTGGACTTTCGTTTTCTGTGTTAGAAGGTTTGCAGCCCAGGTGTGCTCCTTGCTGTGGATTAGCTGCTATTTGTTCGGGGAATTGCCATGGTGCCCATTGCTATGGGCTGTAGGACAAGCATGTTTACAATTTATTGCCAGTAAGAAAATAAATCCGTAATTTCAAACCCCAGGAATTTGGAGCCTTTGGTAGATGCCAGCTGTGAGGGAGGCAGTGCTGCTGTTTCAGATACGGTTACAATGGTTCCGATGCCTCTTGAGAAAGTCCTTTGTTGTTGAGCCTTGTTATGATCTTACAGCCTGATGCTTACAATGGCCTCTTCATGCTAACAACCGTATTTTTTCTCACAGCTCCAGGATATCCTGGACATGAGTAGGGATGTGGTTTGGCAGTTTGGATGGAGCATTGAGCAATATGCTCTAGTGGAAGGCACGAACCCACGGCGTGGGGCTTGAAACCAGATGATCTTTAAACTCCTTTCTAGGCCAAACTGTTTTATGATTCTGTGACTCTGGTTTTGCAAACAGCTGAGCTGATTTAATGTCACTATTAAAAGGGTGATGTTTCATTTTGACACTAATGATCTCTAATAATCTTCATTGGACCTTTAGATAAACCAGCTGAACCTGCTAACACAGCAGAAACCTATTTACCTATTTTGACTGATTCATTAATAAATGAACAAGTAGAAAGTTTCCTTGGTTAAAGAGCTGAATGGGTTTGTGGAAGTATCTAACAGACACTAAGGTCATCAACAATGAAATAACTGAGCGTCAGTACTTTCACAGGACAGGATGAAACAAACTGTACATCTTGCTGCATCTTTTTGCCCATAGAACCTGTTGGAGGTTGGGATTTTTTTATTTTTTAAGGAACTTTTCTCCCATTTGTTGTTACGAGATGCTAACAACTGGTACTTGAGAGAGCCAAAAGAAGGGGCCAGGGTGGGGTGAAGGCGTGCAGCTGGCTGCAGCCCCTTAGCTGGGGCTTTTCTCTTGGGAAGGGCAGAGATAGTTCAACATTTTGGCTGGGAAGTGAGGGGCCGGGAGTTGCTGTGGGAAGAATTCACCACCACTGAGGAATCCTGTCTCCCACTATTTTCTCGTGCTGTGAGTGAGGCCATTGAACTGGGACCTTATTGACACCTGATCTCACTGGAAGGGACCCTCACCATCTACTCGGGTGCCTCAGGGAGAACCCGGGGCCCTGAGCCCCTTCCCCCTCCGAGGAGCCTCTCCCGGCCGTGTTTGGGAGCCGGGCTGCCACTGCCCAGCCCTGCCGTTCCTCTGCCACTGCTCCGGGCTTTTCACTACAGTGGAACCCCACAGCCCCTGCCTACCCGGACACCCCACGGCTCCTGCTGCAGCTGAGGAGTTTCTGCCACATTTCGTTTGCCACCCCGGGGTGTGCCCGTCTCTGCGGTGCCAGCTCCGCTCCGAGCTTCTGCCGCAGCCCATTTCACCATCCAGCCCGGCCGCCATCACCGCCTGAGGGAGCCGCGGCCGCGCCACAGCGCCCCCTGCAGGCGCGGGGGAATCCTGGCAGCGCCTGCCCGGCCGGGAGCCAGCAGCGCCCCTGGCGGCCGGGAGCGGAACTGCAGCCAAGGGGAAGGTGCCGCAGCCCAGAGCGGCTGGGGCTGGCTTTGGCTTCTGCTCCTCGGGGCTGCCGCGCCCGCTGCTGCCTTGCCTTGCTTTACATACACACACTGGGAAACAACTGCTGCTCCTGTCCCGTAACTTGCCTGAAAGCCCCGTCATTTCAAAGTTATAATAATTCAGAGGGAAGGAGATGATATTTTCCATTCCAAGGGAGGTTACCGCCTTCCTTCTCAGATGCCTCTTTTAAACCCAGACAAACCTAATCCACATGTTTGTTTGATTTCTTTGCTGTCTTATTAGTGCCAATATTTATTAATTTACGTTTGAGTGGTTACAGCATTTTTTGGCCATAACAAAGATATTTGTTTTGTATCCAGTTTCCAGTTAACTAAAAGGCATCCTCCTAGGCCACAAAAGATGCTCAAGACTGACTGTGTGATAAAAGGGTGAGCCTTTTTCTCACACAAACATTCTCTAAATGGAAGATCCTGAGCTATTTGGCCTTGATGTGGTGTCACTACTTTTAATAGCCATTTATGGGTTTGTTTTGGTAGGTTTTTCTTTTGCTCCTTAAATTGTCCAAACTCTCTCGCTGCTTTTTGGTTGTGTCTTCAAATGTTCTTCATCTTGTTGGCCATGCCCTCATGTGCACACACACAGAAGGGTGAAGGTCAGATCTGTAAGTGCCTGTTTATGCAGCTGTAGTATAAACATGCTTATTTTGCATTATCCATGAAGACTTATTCTAGGATCATTTCCCCCCATGTTATACTTATTTCTTGATCTTTGTGTAGCCTTTGCTTATGACTGTAGGTCACAGGGGTAGGAGTAGCTTTTCTTTGTGAGTTCTGACTGTACCTGAGAAAGAAAAAGCAAAGCCAAGTGATGCTGAGGCTTCCCAAATAATCAGATGCTTGTTTCCTTTGACTTTGAGCTGTAGTCTTTTAGAAGGGCTGTAATACATCCTTACACTGGCAGGAATTGCTGTGTGTCTGAGATGGCATGACAAATGTTTTGGTTTTCTTCCCCCCATCTAAACCCAGAAATGGGGTAAGGACCTCTTCCGTGTGACGGATGTGCACTTGAATGAGGAAATGCACCTCAGAGTGAGAAGTGAATGCAAGAATGACACCACGAGTGAGCCCAGCCCCTGGGTGGAGACCTCCCTTCTGCCAAAAGGTAACACCAGCAGTGACCAGACCCCTCTGGACCAGAGGAGACATGGCTTTTTCTCTGCTCTTTTGACAAGAAATCATAAAATACATCACAGAGAAATACCAGACACAAGGGCTGGTTTTATTGATAGAACTTAAACAGAATGATTATACCAACTTTAAACACAACTGGGGTCTTCTGATGCTTAAAGTCTTCTGGGTAAGACTGTAAAATTGAAGAACTCCTGCAAAACAGCAGTGTGGTACCTGTTATTTCTCTTCTTCCTGCTGTGGTGGCTGTGGGATAAGAGATAGCTTAGACTCCATTAAGCCTGCTGCCTTCATGACTAACATCTAAGTCAGTTTATTTTGTATGATTTTTCTGTATAAACAGAAGTCCATAAAATAACCCTCCAATTGTCTATGTAGGAAGGAGGAATGCAGCAAATTTAACATTTAGCTTGTTGAATAAATTACTTAATTACTTAAATAGTTGTAATAGGATTCTGTCTTTTTCAGAAGAGATGAGTGGGGTCTACAAAGCATAGAAAAATGAATAGAGAAAAAGTATTTTTTGTTTCTTGGCATGCAGATACAAGGAGTCCACAGCAAAATTGTTAGGAAGCAGACTTTGAGGAGTAATGTATTTTGCTGAATGCTTGAAGTTTGGATGTACAGCAAGAAAATGAGCCTCTTGCCTTAAAGTCTGTCTTAACCCAGGAGCATGACTTGATGTGGATGAAAACCACATGTGGCTGGGGGAATCAGACACCTTATCAAGCCTGTGTCTGTGTCTTCCAAAAGGGTTCTGGAAAATCAGGGAAGCAGACCATTAGGACTGCATGTACTAAACAGACTGGGGCTTTTAAAGGTCTGTTTGCAGATGAAATATTTGTATATATTTCTTGGAACAGGAAAACCTGTTTCATTTGCCTGTACTCTTAGCTGGTGCTTCAGGGAGAATGCCAGCTCGGACTTTCAAAATAGATCCTCATTTAACATGCACTTAGTTTTTAGTTCATGGAGATGTTGCTACTTGATACAAGGATAAAGTGTCCAATACAATGTAATACAGTGTAAAGAACTCATACAGAAATGCAAGATTAAATATGGAAGACTTTATTCTATAATTGCTCTTCCTGGGCAATCCATTGACCTATTCACAATTGCTAGGTGCTCATTTGTATTGATGTGACTTGAATTCCCATATGTTAAATTTTAATGTCTAAAGGTATACGGGTACAAATTAAAAAGTCAACTTACCTAGTGTTGCTCTTGTCAGCATTTAAGACTCAGAGGTATTGCCATACTCAGAATACCAAGAAACTACTACTATATCTGGAGAAGGTAAAAATAGTCAGCCTTTAATTATGGTTGACATTGATGGCTGTAATAGCATTTAGCTGTTATATTTTTCCGTGTAATTACCAGCTACTCTGACTTATTTTTAAAGTACCTGTAGATTAATAGAAATAAATATTTTCCTGACTCAATACCTTGTCCTTAGCATCTGGTAACTCTAAGTAGCAATTCAGCCATGGTGAACACTGGGATTTTTGGCTGGGATTGGCTTGCCTCTAGAAACTACTCTGCTGAGATTTCATCCATTGCAAGCTCTGAACAGCTGGAATTCATAATCTGTCGTGCTGAACAGGCAGTGTAGTCTGAGAGGTAACCAATCCATTTGTGCTTTCCAGTTTGTTATGTAAAATGAAGTGTTTTACTTCTGGAAACAATGGAGAAAACTTGGACAAAATAAATCTTAGAGAACATTTCCAACTTGTCTTGCAGGTATTCCGGGTACTGCTGCTGTTGACTTGAGCTGTGTTTGGCACAATTTGGAGTACATGGCTTGTACCTGGCGTCCTGGGGAGAATGCAAGCAGTGACACCAACTACACTTTGTTCTACTGGTCTGTAGGAGATTTATATTCCCAGCTCTAAAGTGCTCCAGGACTAATCTTTAGTTTTATGTGACACATTCCACTTGTATGCTTCCTGTTGCTTTGAAAGTTCCCAGGGTGTTGTGTCCAAGTTACTGCTCAGTCCTGTCCAGCAGCAAACTTCACCACTGAAGGGGCCAGAAGCCGCTACAGGGAAGTTAATATAACTACTTTGAGTCTGCTTCTGTAGCCCATATTAACATAGATGCTATTGCTTTCTATATTTGTCTGATTGGGCACTTGATTCAAGGAGGGAATAATTAAGAACTAAGCTAGACCAATGTATTAATTGCTTTCTTTGCAGTCTAACAAAATGGGCTGTTTAAGTTAGGATCACTCACTAAGGTGTGTGTCAGTTCATAAACCATTGGGAAATGGTATGAAAGCATTAATAACTCTCAGTAGTACTTCTGTTTGTATCTTCAATATTGTAAATAACTGATTCACCTTTAAAACTATTTTTATCATTATCAGCCCTGCTGGCTAGTGGACAGCCATAAATGGTGTCTTGTTCCAAAGGAACAGACTTGTGTGAGCCAGCTCTTGGCATTGATAGCTGTACATGCTAGTCTATGCATACTTCTGCACCCTGATGGGGCTTGTGAAATGCCAGATTGCATTTGCTTCTGTAGAAATAGTGGAGTAGTTTTAAATCAGCTTTCTGTCTTTTTTGAGCTGGCTACATAAACCTTTTGCTCCTCCAGTGGCAGTCTCACAGGCCAGCTGCTCTATTCAGGGCACTTGGGCAACAAACAGCAGAAAACTTGCTGCTTTTGTTAAATGTGGGGGGACTACTTGTTCCCTGTCTAGACTGCTACTCAAACTTTTTGTTTCTTACAAGAGAAGGACCAAAGCAGGGTTGAAGATCTGAATTTCTGGGTATAGGGATACTTACTGGAATAATGCTTTAGATTTGAGCTATATATTTTCAACCTGCCCTTAATTTTAATGGAAGATGTAGCTGAGGTGAGTTCGAAATGCTTTAATTCATGCTGCTTTGAAAGAATAATAATCTTTTAGATTTTAAAGCCAAAAGATAAGAAAGCATTTCAATTTTAGACTGAAAGATACATTTTCCACAATGGCAGTGAGGTGGGGGTTTTTGATTTCCTTGGGAGAAAGGGCTACTGGTGTATTTTCATTGAGCTTGGGCAACAAAGAGAAACAAGGAAGAAGCTTGTCTTCCTAACTTCTCTATTATTGGAAGGGAAGACTGACATTTTGAAAAGCAAATTTCAGGTAAATAGGTGAAGCTCAACTGTCTCAAGTGTTGTGATATTTGAGGCAGAGCTAAAGGAGATTGATCAGCTCATTCTATCACAAAGGTGAAATTCTGTTGACAAGAAGTGGTTCAAATTAGTTTATTTTCTAAATATTCTTTACTCCTTGGAATTGTTCTCCCATGTGGAAAATGTGAACAAAGCTGACAGCAGTTGTTCTCTTTGATATATAGCAAACCCAGCTCCCTTTCTGCTCCTTGAAACTCTTCACCTTGCTGTCCTTTTCTTCTGTGCTGTCCTTTTCTTCTGAAGTTTACAAGAATAATTTTATTCCTCTAGGTTTGATGGCTTGGAAAACCCTAAGAAGTGTAGCAACTACTCTGTAAACCAGGGAATCTTTGAATGCATTTTCAATCTTACCTTCCCAAAAGTCACCAGTAATTACCCTGCTATAAGTATTTTGATTAGAGATGATTCTGAAGAAATTAGGCCTGTGTGTGCAAGTAAAAATCCTACCACCCTTGGTAAGTTTAACACCACATTATAAAAATATAAGTAAAATAAGAAGTTTGGTAGTATATTGTTGTGTTTGAGAACTTTCACCTCATAAAGTATGGACAAGACAATGAGATTAGATGCTTCCTACTTCTACTGATCTTTGATTTGAAATTATGTAAACAAGAGTTTGTTTTTTGCAGGGATTTGGGTGGGGAGGAATAATTTTCTATTAACTTCTACTCTTACTCTTTAGTTGGATTTACTCTTTTTTTTGTCTTACTGGTGCTTTTTCCTCTTCTTAATGTGGTGTAAGTGTAATATTCTTCAATAGAGCACTGAACAATTTTTGTAAGCAGTGAAATAAACTTTTTAACTAATTTTTCCATTTTGCCTTTCAGTAAAACCTGCCACACCAAGACTATTGACATTGTCAAAGACTAATGACAGAATTGATGTAAAATGGAGTTCATCGGAAACTTTTCCAAAAAATTGCTTACACTATGAAGTTAAATGTTGCAATGGTGATTCAGACAGTGTTTGGACAGTAAGTTTTCATTACTAATTTTTTTTTTCTGTGAATCCTTTATAATATTTGCAGTTGAAAATGAACAGCTGCATGTGAATGGGGCAGGTGCCAGAGCTGGAAGTGCTGTGTGAATATAGGATTTTTCTCTCATACTGTAGGTTTATGTTAGTGAAAGCTGTACATCAAAACTCATGCAAGTCTTCTGAATCCTTCCCATCATTTGTTAGGGCAATTTCTTAGTGTGTGAGAACAGTGTGATAAAGAAGGATTTACTAAACTATCAGGAAATGGTGCCTGTATGCTGCTCAGGCATATGGGCTTTGATGTCTTGGTGTTGGCTTTTCCTGCTGCTGGTCTGTGTGGTCTTGTGGCAGCTTTGGTCTTGAATGCTGTGACCTGATTGCCCTCAATAAAAATCAACTGCTGGTGCACACAGGAACAGAGACTCTCATACAGAAAAGCAAGGGGGATAAATACTAAGGATGGAGGGGAAGAAAGAAGTGGGCAACCTCAGATACACTGATTTTAGTGTACATACAAAAAGCATTGAGTTCTGTGTCTGACATACTCACACTGTATGTCCATAGCCAAACTGAACGTACTGTTTGATCAGAATGGTAAAAACAGAGTGATAAATTTCAAAGTGAATGGCAGTCTTCTCCTGTGGAGCATGTTGTTTATTCTACCCCAAACTCAAATGCTAGCAACAGTCCCCAGGAAACTGGAAATTTGGATTAAAAAAATAAGTGCAGTTAGATCCTATCTAGTGTGTGCTCTTCTCTGTAGATGTGTCACAGAACACTTTGGTATAGTCAAAGTTATGCTGTCCTGAAAAGAAGGCAAGGGAGGGTAAATCACAGATGTTTCTCAGAAGAAGGAGAAAAAAAAATTTAAAAAGGCACTGTTCCAAATGCTGTCTTAGTTTAATCATTGATGACAAATGCTGCATGATAGATGTAGCAGTGAATGAGATTAAATCTTAGCTTGGAATGTGCATTTAGGCACTCTGTACTTGTTAAATGCCACTACATCCTATTGTAATGAGGTTTTATAGTCATAAAAAGTTCTTCCATCAAAACATTCAGAATATATTAGCTGCACAATGTAAATAGGCTTGGAAGTGACTGAGAATATAATATGTTGGTAATTGAACAAAGCAAACTACCTTTTCTTTTTTGCCTTAGTCTGAAATAAATTCTGTGTCAATTCCTGGCATTGATGCTAACAGCAAGTACACCTTCAAAGTGAGAGCAAAAGCAAAGCGTGAGTGTTACAACAGCGATTTCCATAGTGACTGGAGTGAAGAAAAGAGCATTGGTGAGAGCACTTGTCCCTGCATAGCATTGCACTTTACTTTTCTTTTGTAAGGCATCTAATACCTTTTTGTCTGCTAAATAAATGGGAGTCAAAGATCATCTTATGTACCTGTTGAATTGTGAGTGAAAAGAGGGCAGAAGAGCCCTAATCCTTCAACAGCACCACCAGTCCCAGCCTGTGCTGCTGTATCTATTGATAGTGGTGCCATTTGTGTAGCTATGCAATATCCAGTGTAGCAAATTTTTCAGTCCTGAGTCTTGCTTATTTACATTTCCTTGCCAAACACATCTACATTATAATCCTGTCTTTGAAAAACAACCTGTCCTTGCCTACAAAAGTGCTAGTGTACTTGAAAAAGCTCTGAATCTGTGAATAAATTGGAGAATTAACTATTTTGTTGTCATTATTCCTAAAAAAATCTCTCAAAACATCCCTAAGTTTCTACAATTTCTGTTTTCCAGGTGAGAAGAGGGACTCTACAATCTATGTTGTTCTAATAATTACCATTCCATTAATAGTAGCAGTATCTACAATAATTCTACTAGTTTATCTAAAAAGGTAAATAATGATCTCCCTACATTTGCTGCTGTCTTTGTCAAGAGTGAGTTATTCAGAATCTGTGTCAATGTTCCCCTTTCCTTTTGTTTCGGGGAGTAAAAATAAGAAATGGGTACAGTTGTACAGAGAATGAAGGCTGGCCAGTGATGACAAAGCTGACTCCACAAATTTTCTTGACTGTACCCAAACATGATCTTGACATTTTTAAATGATTTTTTGATTTTAAAGTGATTTTTAAATTAATATATCTTTCATCTAAATGTTTTCTTTTTATCTTCATGAAGGCTGAAGATACTAATTCTTCCTCCAATTCCGGACCCAAGAGAAATTCTTAAGCGTATGTTTGGAGAGCAGAACGAGGATTCCCCGGTAAGTAAGAAGCTGTTGGGCCAACAAATCTATTGAACTGGGATCTCTAGGTTTGCAGTTTTCTTTTTGCTATGTCTGTGTTATAACTAACTGTGTATATCATATTAAGATCAAATATTTACAATACTAGGGATTGTTCAGAAACCATTACCCAAAACTCAGATTTCCCCCACCCCCAACCTGTATGTACTTTCCTAGTTAGATTAGCAGAATTGCACTACTCCACACTGCTAGTCTGACCTGCTCTTGGCCGCACTGGAGCTCCGGGCTAGCTCTACGGTGCCACTCCGGCACGGGCAGTCGCCAGGAGTGGGGAACTGCAGGGGAAAGGCGATCCCACTGCAGAACCTTCAGAGCACCGAATCCTGCCAGGCTCTGCCAAATCAGGCGTTGTGGGTGGTGGCAAAAGGAAGGAGGAGACTCACTTGGCTGTACTTCCCAGGAACAGGTTTATTCGGGAGAGGGGATGAGCACAAGGGTCTGGCTCGGGGGGCACAGTCCAGGGTCCAATGGGAGCTCATGGTGGGAGGGGTAAGGGGAGGAGGTTACAATGTCAGGGACCAATGGGGATACAGAGAAGGCGGGAACATAACATAACAACCAATAACATGTTGAGGAAGGGATGATGTACATGGAAGGAGCTGGAAGGAGAGGTGGGGTTTATGATGATGGATGGGGAGATGGGGCAGGGTAAAGGTGATTGACGGGGAACATTCAGGAAAACTGGGAGGAGTTTACATAACAGACAAATGGAACCAACCAAAGCAGTAAATGGGGGAGGACCAGGAACCTACCAGACAAAACATTAACAATTTTAACAGAACTGAATTAACATACTACAGCACTAGTCCCTTAAATTTGTTTCAGGTTGGGGTTTTTGGGTTGGCAGTTTTCTGATTGTCAGGCTTCTTTTGCTGTGTGGGTTTTGGTTTGAGGATGTTTATTTTTGCAACTCCATTAAGTGACTTCTACTGAACATTAATGTCTTTTTCTGCTATTTAATCATATTTATGATGTTTAGTGAAGCAATTTGGATTTTACTTCCAGAAACAAATATTTTTAGCACTCTCACATTTATTATAGTCTGTTAGCTAGGAAGTAAATCAGACCTGTAGCTTCTTGTTGGTAAAAAAGAATGAAACAGCTATAGTTGTTCCAGGCATTGGCTGATGAAAGACTTGCAGTGGTGCCTTATTTTGGGGAAAATAAACATAATACCAATTTAGGAAACTTATTTTAAAATAAATCTCTCTCAGAAGCCGTTTATAAAAATCCTAAGAGAAGTACACTGACAAGCCCTAATTCAGACATTGACATGAGGTGGTGAATGTTGTTCTCCCAGATGGGACTCTTGGCCATAACAGTGGTAGCTGTTGAAAAGCTACTTTTGAAAGCTTTGTTGTGCTTTCAAAAGTATTTTGTTACTGCCCCAAGTAATTTTCTCTGTGTGCTCAGTGGAAACTCTACAAAGTGTGCTCAGTTTTCCATCCTCCTGCCTGAGCTTCACCCATTGGCTGTAGCTGGAAGAACCCTTAAGGTGGGGACCAACCTTCAGTTCCTCATCTCCAGAGGACACCTCTTCTGTCAGCCAGGCCTAAGCCATGGCTTTGAAAAGCACAATTTACTGCCCAGCTACCTTGGCTTTTCACCATAATACAGGGTATATGTTGTGGAACAGGAGTTTGTCTTACTGGGTTGAAAAAGCAACACTTGCCATGAGGAAATACTTTTATATTAATAATGTTGTTCCTCTCTTTCAGAGCTCTGCAAAGGATGATCCCATGAATGCTTTTGACAGGTTAATTATGGAAGAAGAAATTCATTCTTTAATTTTAACAGAAACTTCAGACAGCACTAATCTTGAAAAAGAAAACAGGTAGACTCTGCTTTATCAGTGAAAGAGAAGGAAGCAGATTCCTGCTCCGACTGTAGATGTGAAATGGTCTGTGAGACATTTGCTGGCTCTGACCTCACTGGCTCCTTCTCTGGTGCACAGAGGATGAATCACTATCAGTGGCTGTTCTTCCACCTCTGCCAGAAAGACCCATCTGATGACACCCATGTCAAGATGAGCATGCACGTAATTCCATGAGACTCCGTGTGACACGCAATTCCATGTGACTGCATTGTGGACTCCCTGTCCTGGCTTCAGCCAGCTCTGCCCTATTATTTGTCACTTGCACTTGTGTTTGTGCCTCACACCAGGCTGTCAGGGTTGGTTTGGTTTTTTTCTGTGACTTCTCTGAAGTATTTGGCTGTTTGCAGCAGGTGGGATGAGGCTGCTTTACAGTGGATGGGTCATTAGTGCTACCACGTGGAGCTGCTGCCAGGTGGGATGGCAGAGCATGGACTGTTTGTGGATAAGCCTTTGTGTGTGTGCCTGGGCTGGGCACTCTCTGGAGGGCACTTATGGACTGAGCTTCTTGTGCTTCTGCCCATCAGCTGGGGCTTGGTCAAATCCCACCAAAGAGGGTATTTTTTTATTTGAAAATGTGTATGAAAAGCCCCTCTGCTTTCCAGCTGGTGTTCAGAATATTCATAGAAAAGGCTTAGTTTTGTTATCCTGTCAATTGTCTGCCCTCAGATTCCTTGCCTTCATGGACTTCTTGGGTTAATTATACTTTGTTTAAAATGAGAAATATATATATTTTTTTATTTGTTCTGTGCAGTAGCAAGTAACTGTATTGAGTCTCACCAGACTGTGGTTCTACTTTGGCCATATTGGCCTGAAGATACCTGATTTTTAGCAGCTAAGTCACCCTGAGTCTGTCCAGTAAAAATACCAGTGTGGATGCATGAATCAAACTCATTAGTAAATATTAAACCACTGAAACCCAACTAATGCAAAGGCTTCAAGACCCATCCTTACTGCCAAACTGATGGATTTGGGGAAGAGGGGATGAAAACACCAGCCTGTTTTCTAAAGGATAAGTTTTATTCTTTCTACAGAGATGACACTCTGATTTGAGCTTCCCCTCTAAGACTTAGCAATATAAAACAAGGTGCTGATTTGACTTTTAAAAAAAACTTTCTTCTGTATTTTACCACAACAGTTTTGCAGGTATTTTTGTTGTTGTTTTGTTCATTCTTTGGTGGTTTTGTTTTGAGGGTTCTTTACCCAGCAAAGCTCAGCAGGTGTTTTCTGGCACAACTGTGACATTTTTCTGCTCTGGATTCTCAGCATTAGTGTCTGCCCTGTGCTGCAAAGGTGGTTGCAGTGCTACCTTGATTGTGCTGGAGAAAGAAGATAATGGAATGGTGAGAAAAGGATCCATGGAAGCCCTTTATGGTTAATGCTCAGGGATTTCTTGCTCCTTCCATATAAGTGTAGACATCTGAGTCATGTACATAGGCAGTCTTAGCAGACAGGGAAGAAATCTCCTGATAAACTTTCTAGGAGCAAACTTTATAGCTACTAACCTTTTGAAGTTCATCCCTGTCTTCAAACTCAGTCAAAAAAGTGAAACTAAGTGCTATATTATTAGAAGATATTGTTCTGCAAGAAGTAGAACGAGTGTCACATGCCTTTTAGCTACAAATGGGCATCTTTTATGCACTTATATATTCCCTCCTTATCAATAAATCCAATTCTTTCCCCATTGCCCACTGAGCCTCTTAAATACAGTTTTTTCCAGGTCTCTTATCCTCCTTTTGTTAGTAGTAGAAAGGGAAGGAGAAATGTAGCAGAACTAGCAGACCCCCTATTAAGCATATGTCTTACCTCCAATTGGACTAAATAAACCCAACATTATAAAAATTAATAAGTGGGACAAAATAAAGCCTCAGGGATTTCAGTGAGATAAAACTCAGGTTATACAAAGTCAGCTAGTAGCACTCTCTGAAATTCCAGAGATTAAGGAATAGCATGAGGGAAAGAGTAATACATTTCTTACCAAATTCATACCCTCTGCAACATTAGTGTCATTATAATGATAATATTCCTTTAATCTACCTCATCTGGAATTTTGCTCAACACAGACCACTAGACAAACAGAAATGTATAATTTCAAGGTAAGTAAGAGTAACAGTATAATACAAAGTTTCATAGCTTTCAGCATAACAATCTAGCAAAATCAGCACTTACTCTAAATTCTTTTGACGTTTATGCTGGTGTCTGACAAAACCAAAATTTATTTGATTTTTAAAAAAACCAACAAAAAATCCCAAACAAATTTGTAAAGCCATAGTAGAAGAAAAAAAATACATGGAAGGTGTTAGGCTGAAAGAAAGATTTAAATGCAAAGGATGGTTTAGGTCCCTATAGAGGAAAGATCTGAATAACACTAGTTGGCACTTCCTCATGGATTCATTTCTTGAGCCTGTGTTTCAGTATGTAAAGTAAATGTCTGAATATACTTTCACCTTCAACATGCTTTTGTTTTTAAATAAGAGGTTTTTTAGCTTGAAATTATCCAAATTTTGCTACAATTTTTTTTCTTCATTGCAGTTACTTGATCTGTAAATTTGTTCAAAGAGTGAATAAATATGATTGAATGCTTTTCAGTGTAATGGCATGGGATTTTGTTCTTGGGTTGAGGAGATTAAACTGAGGCCAAAGAGATGGGTTTTTAATGAGAAACCATGTTTGAAGCATGCAGAACCCGAAGAAGAAAAGCTGAGTTGCTTTGCCCTCTTCCCTTTCAAGACTGAGCTCAGCCCATGCATTCATTGTGGACAGACTGCAGTGGCCATGGTTTTTGGCTGGGGAAATGGAACAGAGATGGAGCTGAGCACAAGGTTTGTGCTCTCACCCCCTCTCTGTACTTTCTGACATTGTCATGTTTTAGTGCCACAGACTTAATGAAACATCAGACTGGAATTTGAATAAAATTGCTGCAGCCTTCCCCAGTGTATTTTCAATATTTTACATCGTTGTTAGCTGCTGAGGTTATTGAAAATGCCAGTTTGCTAAACTGCTGAGACCCAAATATATTCAAGTGCCAAATAAACACATTAGTAATGGCTTTTTGGAAGGATGCAGAGAGAGAATTCTTAGTTCAGTTCAGTGAGCAGCTCATTCAAAATTAAGATATAATCCATGACATCAAAAAACAAGGCTTTCATATTTCTCTTTCACAATTCTATAGTTTTGGTGGCAATAATGACTAACAATGATTTTAATCCTCGCAAGTGACCTTTTCCTCAGTTTGATACATTCTGTTAAGTAAGCTAAGCTTTCTGTATTTGGCATCAGTGAGAAATTGAACAATTGATTTTTTTTTTTTTTTGTTTTTTTTTTGTTAAGGAATGACAGTTGGAAGAATTTCTAGAGGAACACACTGAAGTGTAAGCCATAGTGTTTCAGTGCTTACTGGGTAGAACTATTCACAGGTTGGGTATTTCCATTCACTGGAAAGTATTCAATAAACTTATTTCTGAGCTGGAACTTTAAATACTCAAAATTTCCTTTGGAAAGGAAATGTTTGGGTTTTTTCATTATTAAAATCATGAAAAGAACAGAATAAGTTTTTTGTTTTGGAGGGTTTTACACTCACTCTGGTAAGAACAGGATGTAGGTGAGTTGGGGGGGTGGAAGTCCAGATATGGTCAGGAAGTTGCAGAAACCTCCCTCCCTCCTTCTCACCCAAATACCATTGTTGGGCAGCAGCTCAGATCTACAGGCCCAGGAACAGGCAAAGTGGCACTGCGAGGAGCAATTCTGCTGGGCTACTGAAGGTTCATCAAGATGATCCCCAAACACTTCCGTTTTAAAAAATATTTGTAAAATATGTTTTAGGGGAGCAAGCCCCACAGGTTGCATTGCCAGCTGTAGAAATGCAGCTTCTAGATAATACTGAAAATCCAAATGCAAAACCAGATTAAAATCTCTCTATTTGGATGAACTTCTTACAAGCTGTTGAGTCGAGGTGATAGCAGGAGGCTCAGATCACATGATGTAACTAAATCCGCTCTGTTACCACAGCAAAGCAATGTGGCTTTGGGTGGGTGGCAGAGGGAAGAAAAACTTACTTTCAGATCCGGAAACTGTCTCAGGTTTGTAGCATGTAAGAGCCTGGAAGCTTGTTGATGACTTACAGGGGTTTTTTGGGGTTGTTTTTTTTCAATCTGTTTTTCCAACATGCTGGTTAGGTTAATGAAGTAGTTTCTCTTTGTTTGTAAACCTTGGGGTGTTTATCACTGAAGCACCCCTTCTATGGCCATTCTTGGATTATTACCAACTAGCTTTCTGAACATAATCATTTGATGGGGAAAGAAAATTGCTGCTGTCACCACAGAGCTGAAAATCAGCCAGTACATCCTAGCAATAGCTTCTGCTCCTTGTTTGGCTTTTGCTAAAATTCTGAAATTATTTTGATGATTCTTACACAAAGCAGCTACAAAAAGATAACTTTCCAGTTAACCAGGATTTCCAGTAATCATGTTCTTAGCCTGTTATATCAGTTTCCCTCTATTTAATTTGGCTCAAACAGCTTAATAAAATAGTTTATTTGGCTAAATGCATGATGAGATTAAAAGCTTATCAAGAAAAATGTTTTGTTAAGCTCAGGCGCTGTCACTTTTTGGAATCCCAGGCAAAATTTGCAAAGCTAGATCAAATGTTAGGAGCAGCTTGAACCAGGAGTTAAGCTAATGCTTTAAAAGTAGAGCTGCCCCTACATCTTCTGTGAGAAACAAACAAAAAACCAAAACACAAATCCAACTAAATATGTGCTCCATGGTGGTAAAAAATTAGGTTGTGCAATGGGCATGCTGTCCTAGTGATCTACTGAAATCGATATCAGCAATTTCTGTCTCAAAGTTCTCTGCTCTGAAACACCAGAACTGAGCTCTATTTAAGACAATTTGGCATGTCACTGCCACTTCTTAACCTGCTTAGCTGTAGCAATAGAAACAAAATCCACAGGTTTTTAATTTTATTTATTTATTTTTTAAATGGCAGAGAGTGCCAAAATTAGCTTGTTTTCCTGTTGGAACCTTTCTGCCTCCTGTACTTCAAACCCTTTTTAGCCTCACTAGTTTCATTTCTTCACACAAAATGTCAGTGTGGAAACTTCTAAAATGCCAGCAAGGTACTCTTAAAAGGTGTGAAACTTCCTGGTCCTTCAAATGTCAAAATCAGCTACAGGGAAAGCTATTCAGGTGGCTATGTAGTTTTAATGTCACACCCTGTCATGTTCTAGGAGAATATTCAGCTGTAGAAAACCTTGCCTAAATTGGCAGGTACTCAGGCTGCACCATTAGTTGACATTTTTCCACAGCTGACTTTCACAGTGCTTTTCTTGCATACAACACTTTGTTATCTCTTTAACTAGGAGGAATAAAAGGTAGAAATGCTAGCAACATACCAGGCAGAAAGAGAATGGCATTTGCCTTTCTACTTGTGGGATTTCAAGGACCGTGTCTGAGCTTGGTTTGGAGTAAAAATCCTGTTTCTAAATCCTTGGGAACAGTGGGCCATTCTATTAGGTGTGCAACAGTAGTTCTTTTGTTCACGGGCTGACGCGGTGCAGGAGTCCCAGGCTAGCTCATCACCAGCACTGAGAGTGGGACACGCTCCAGGAGCAGGATGCCCTGGAGTGCAGCTCTGAGCTATTGCTCCACAGCACATTAGAGCAGTCAGCTCTGTGTGAAGGCAAGGATTGAGGAGGAGCCTCTTTGTACAGGTTCCAGGAACAGGTTTATTGCCCCAAGGGGTCAGGGGCAAAGAGCAGAGAACAAGGGTGCAAGGGATTATATATGGGGAAGGTCCAGGGGCTGGTTACAGTCTCTTGGCAAATCAGGGAGAAATAAGGGAGGTACAGAAGATGGGATTCGCAAAGTTCCAACAAATGGAGAAACACAGGGAGGGAACCCAAACTGCCAAGCAGGTGAACAATCCACTGGGGTGTCATGGTTTAGGGGAATTCCAAAGGGTTGGTACAAGGAAGGATTGATGGGAACTCACTGGGACAGGGACAGGGATTGATTGACACTCAAGGGGGAAGGCATAATACAGGATTGATACCCCAAGGAGGGGACAGAGGACATCCTGGGTGAGGAGGCAGGGGAGTAACAAGGATTGGCAGGTGACTGGGGAGGTGCAACCTGGGGCAAGCCAACTGAGCTCAGGGATGACAGAGCATACCAACTGAAGGGAACGTAACATTTACAACATAAAGAACACAGATGCACTGCAACAATGTGCTACATGAAAAAATTATATTGATCATCCATTTATTAAAGCTTGGGTAGGGCTGGAAGAGTTGTCAGAGCATTCCCTGCCATGTTTGCTTCTGCTGAGTGGCAATTTGTCAAACTTGTAAAAAAACTTCTTCTAGAGAGTCTCTCAAATACTCTCAGATTGTCTCACTGTTGTTTTCTCCTTAATTCAAACACTCCCCCAACAAATGACCTGCTGAATTTTACTGCAAATTAAGTTGCCTTTTCCTTTGTCCTCCTCTCACCAGAACATTGTTTGCACTTTGATCATGCCATCAAATTCTGTCCCTGCTGTTTTCTCCTTTGAAGGAAAAAAAAAAGAAAAAAAGAAGAAAAAAAAGGCTTGAATCTTTGTCTTGTTGTCTAAATCACTTGTTCTTTATTATAGAGTGTTGCCCTTGAAGCCAGACTGCATCATTCCCAAACCACCAGAACAATTACATTTTTTGGCTGTCAGGCCTCTCTTCCCCATCTTCATGCAGAAATCATAGCTGCTGCTTTCTTTGGCAGCAGCTTTGCTGTGAAGCTGCACCTCAGTTCATGGCTTTCTATGATTTCTGGTCTTTTCAGTACCACTGCTGCTCTGTCAGTCCCTCCTCACTGCAAAAATCCCTTTCTCCAGCCTAAGGGGACTGCTTTTGATGACTTTATTGGACCGCATTTTTGTCACTTGTGTTGCTTTGGAAAACTGCTACAATTGTTTATACTCATAATTGTGTCCCTGAACATCCTTCCAACCATTTTTCCTTGGGCATAATCCACAGAGGGTCATCTTCCAGATGGTCAGATGGTTTCAAATGCTGAATAAAGTTGCTGCCCTGACAGATTGCTGCAAAGCAGCAACATTCATTGTCCAGTTGGGAGGTCAAGTGCTCTTAAGGAGCTGCTTTTGGGGTTTTTTGGTTTTTTTTTTGATAGCTGCATATCTATCTTCGTGCTTAACTTGGATTTCTTCAAGCTGATTTAGGAGGATGTCACCACTTATGTTAGGTCTGTAAAAAAGGGAAACTAAACTAGTTTGGCACAAGCTGTCCTTGATGGTGGTAAAAATGCAAAGCAGGGATTAAAAAAATTCCAGAGTCACTTTAGGAATAAAAGTTGGACAAATGGACCAGTAATTTCTTGGAAGCTTCCTTTCTGAAGACAATATTATATTTGTCCTTTGGAGTTTAGACTTTTTTTCTGTTTCTTTGTGGGCAAACTGCCCACATTCCAGGTCTAATCAGTGTTCAGATTATTATGTGCTGCAGAATTAATAAAGCCCTGCTTACCTGAAGACATCCACATTATCTGATTGTTCTCCAGCCTGTTTGTCTAAATGTATTTGCTTGTTAGTTTTTTCTGGTTAGAGATAATCTTTATTGAAAAGACTAAAAAAACCCAAAAATTTGCCACACCAGACTTCACAGCAGCATATTCTGACCTTTCCCATCTGGTCTTGAGCCTGCAGTTCATCTTCCTTTAGTAGTGTTGTCAGACCCCCTTGCAGTGTGTTTTGGCTCTGGTCAAACAGGCCTTGGTTGAGCCCGTTGCTTTCTGGCCCTCAGCCCTGTGAGAAGCTGCAGCTCAGGGCCCCACTCCCAGTGGGGTGAGGGCAGAGAAAGGGCACGCTCAGGGCAAATGAAAGTCATCAGTACTGACCCAGATAGCGGCCACAGATTACAGCACAGACAAGACAGCCTTTATTGTTAACTGCCCAAGCCAGACTCTTCCTTTGGCCTCATTTCTCTGCCTAACACAGTTCAGGTGCCTGGTAGGAGCGTAGGGAGGCAGAACCCTGCTGGCTGCTCCTCAACCCCTTTCCAACATGCAGCTTTCCCCTGTCAAGAGAGCTCTCAAGGTGGCACAGTCACTCCTAAATAGTTCATTATTTATGTTGATGCTGTTGTGCTCATACAAGTGCCAAAGCTGTATAGAAACTCCTCTTGAGGCCCGTAAGTTTTGTAGTGTTCACTTCATTCACACAGCTTCCAGAGCTGTGAACAGGCACAGCAGCTGGGTAGTCCATGAGGATTTGTGGATGTCAGTAACACTGGCTTTAGCAGATGTCTCTACTTGGGTGACAGAGGTGTAGTTTGCAGAGCTCAGAGCTTATTCAGTTGCTGTACAGAGTTCCATGCTCTTGAGGAAATGTAACACTCAGCCTGAGCTGGGAAGCAGCTGAGAGCTTTGTCACTAGTGCAGAGCAGATCTTGTCCAAGCTCTTTCCCTTCCTGCAGGTTTCCAGGAAGGGCTGTGATGCCAGCATGTCCAGAGCACACACGGCTGTGGCATTCCCAGCCTGTTCAGCTGACAAGCAGCCAAGGAATTGGCTACTATCCTGCTCTGCCCAGCCTGGGGTTCAGCCCCAGTTCTGGGGGGAAGAAGGGACAAACACACCCCCTTTTTCCTCAAAACTCATGCTGCACACTGTGGTGAAAGCCAAGAGAAGCTGCAATTGGTGGCACAGATGTTGACAGAATTTCAGCCTAATTCTCCTTTAAAGTTTCTTGAAAAGAGTAAACATGAGTATGGAGATGATTCTTGGAAAATCAAAACAACTTACAAGAAGTGAAAAGGAAATAAATGGAAAGAAACAATCCAAGATGTTTATATATATTAATTCATTTATTTATATTCACTGACTTTCAGTGTCACACAACTTCTATATCACATTAATTCACAATTAATATTATCTTTATGATCTATGACCTAGCAACTTTTATACACTCAAAAATACCACTAACTACATATGTTCTACCTTCTCCCATTCTTTGAAATTAATGCTGAAAATACAGAAACATGCACATGTAAGGTTTTAGAGTACAGCTCTTTAGTTAGGTACACGTTGCACAGTAAACAAATGTGCTCTGATAGTATTTTATCCTCTGCAGTAGCAATACACAGCAGCAAGAAAGTTGATCCCTATGATCTTTTGCTGGAGTAATGACTCTCTATCTTAGCATAACACAGGAAAACTAACATGTTTTGACAGACTCAAGATCAAAAATACACTGGTTTTACACTTGTGCTAATAAACACCAAGTGAAGTAAAACAGCAAGTGGTTTCTTTGCAGAGAAGACCTCTGCTCCAGTCTGACAGCGCTGGATTGGCAGGGAGGAGGGAGACAGGCAGAATGATAGATCACAGCAGCACTTCAGCCACTGAACTCCACATATTAAGTTCAGCAGGATGGCGACTTTACAGATTGATCCAGAGTAAAATTCCAAGCCTACTACAGTCATTGGATAGTCACCAGCTGCACACTTGTGCCTGTGCTTGTGGCACCCCATTCTGCAAGAGTAAATAGCTCTCCTTCCCAGCTTCTGCTATGAAAAAGTTCAAACACTTGAGGAAAATCAAATTATATCCTTTAACATTTTAAAGACATTATCTATATTCCACATCATTCTGACATTTATTTTAGAGTTAGGAAGTCCTAACATCTAGGATGAAATGATTAATGTTTTATGCTTAAAGTGTACTAAGCAGTGCAATGCCACAAACAGCTTTTGGCAGCATTTCTATGGCATGGGATGGAGGGAGGTGGTTAGACCATCTCACCACTGTGGCTCTGTGATAATATCAGATCACATCACATTTGTACAAAGGTAATTCTTTAAAAAACTGCCTTAAGAAAGAACTGTTTAATTAAAATTAGACTTCGATCTGAAGTATATGTAAATAAAAACATTGGCTGACACAGTCAGCATGGCTCAGTTTGGAACACAGTGCTGTGTGATTCTTGCACCAGAGCAATGGCCTCTCACCTTCACATGCCCACAAGCAGCACAATCACACAAATAACACTGCAAGCAACACCCTGTTCTTCTTGTGTTGATATCTTTTCATTTTGCCTTCTGTGGGTACTCTGAAAGGCGTGAGTTGACAAACATTGCTCCAGAATTAATACTTCCAATTCATAACAAATAGATACAATTCAGTCACATTTAGTTGACTTTTAGTCCAAGTACAATTTGAGTTAAATTAATGTATTTTTAAACTGTAAGCTACACTAGAAAGACACAATAATTTTATTACTTTCATTACCTTTAATCTGAAGTTGCCCGTGAACTTTTATGTAACAGAAACAATTACATTTCTCAGTCAAATTACATTTAACTGAAGAGAGGGCACAGACTTTTAAGTACTCAGGGGCAAAGTCCACTGCCCCCAGGGCAGACAAATGAGCTACTAGTTGAAAGCGGTAATCTCCAGTTACCAACAGGCTGCTAAAATGTGCCTAAGAATATATCCCTTCCTATAAATTAACTCTGTGGGCTTTGGTCAAAAATGGTACAATTTACCTGGCAAGTCTCCGTAATTCTTTCTTCTCAAAGAATTGAATTGAGAGCAGCATTTTCAAATGGACAAGTGGTCAAATTGCAATGAGCTCCTGCTTGAAAATAATTTAGTAAGAATCCAATTCTTTAAGTGATTTGAGGCTGTTTAACATGGGAGAAAAACGTGATCCTTGATTCTGGACCAGCAGGAGCCAGTTGCTCCTTAGTGCAGGCAAAAAGTTGACAGAATTTTCCATTCTTTTCCTCTTGTGGAAGTAGCAGCTTCTCATAGTTGCTGAACTCCTTCATGTACTCAGAACACACCTAGAAATGATGTGGCAAACTGTATATCCTGCCACAACTAATACGTCTTAAAGACAGTTTTTCTGCTTTTGCAATTTTTGCAAGTGAAAAATTGCTCCCTAGAAGCAAGTTACAATAAAAAAAAATTCTTTAAAAAAATATTTCTATACTCTTATTAACAAATAAAATCCATTAAAAATGTTTGGATGCTATACTCACTACCTTATACTCCATGTACAAAAGCAGACATATAAAAACATAGCACCTGACCTTGCTCAGGTAAAAACAACTGAAAGTGGTTTCCTGGATCATGGTACTAAGGCACCATGGTATTTAATCCCTTTTACAGTAAGTTTCAAGCCTAAAGAGCAGTCAGGCTGCCTCTGGTAACATTCACTTAGAAAGATCATTACAGAACAAACCTCAAGATTATTCTAATTTCCAGGCTAAATTTTTATCACAGTCCATTCATTCTTCTGCAAACACTGCCTTAAATATTAGGAAAGCTTGCCTGTCTTTTCAGTTCTCACCCAGATATATACATTTCCATACATATGTTTGTGCACAGGCAAAGAAAGACAGCTGACAATCACTTTTACTCCTTGGTATCCTGTCAAATGATCAGCTCATTGTACTGCCTTCTTGAACATCAATGATGTTCTTGAACACCTTCTTGAACATCAGTGACCAAGACATTGTCTAATCTATTTCAAGACTGAAAAATAAAGGTAACAATTGTCCTTCCCAATTACATGGATGACAATTACAACTGCCCTAAGAGCCATGATTTTGTATTTGTGCCTGCTAGTTCTAGAAAAGTGCAATGTGTAGAGGGTATATTCAAGTTACGGTAATTTTATTACCCTCTTTTTGAACAATATACATTTGAAAATTAAATTACACTGGATCCAGCACACCTGAGTCCACTGTCTTGTAGATTTTGCTCAGAAAGACTTCCACGTTATCATCCCCCAAGTGACAGATGTCCAAGATGCAGATAACATGTTTGCCATCAAGCTCCTTCGCTGCTTTTACCAGTTCATCTAGAAATTAGGGAAAGGTGGTTTTAAAAGGTATTTGTTGTATACTCTGTACACAATAAAAAGGTGTACAGAACTGATAACATTTTCTGTGCAGTAATGTGCATACATTCAGCCTTCCTTCAGTGAAAAATTTTATTCATAAGTTCCACCACTAGAAATGACAACATCAGAATTAGACATGAGTTTGCAATTTAGGTATTAAAACACTGTCTCCAGAGGATGAGACTAGCTCCAGCAAAAACTGCCTTGGAAGCTCAGTATTACAGCAATTTACTAAAAGTGGTGAAATAGAATTCACATCTCTTTGCCTGAAGAGGTGAACAGTGTCTGATCTACACCAGAGATTTCTACAGAGGATTAACTCTTGCACTGAAAGATAAACTAAGAAATGATAAATGAGTAACATCAGTGAAAGGCAGCCTCACCTGAAAGAGGAAATGTGTCACAAAGCCTCTCACTGCTGGTGGCCTTCGGCTGGCATGCAGAGATACAAGTCATACAGGACAACAATGTATCATTCTGAATGTCTTCTAGTTGAAATAAGTGGGGATTATCAGGGCAAAACAGTGGAAGAAAAGCAACGTCTATTGCTATGTCATGGTTTATACCTGTTAAAGAAAAGTATTTTCTGTTAGCAGAAAACTTAGTATTCACCCCATCAGCAACTCTGTGCACCATTTCTCTTTTTTTTGAACAAAACTGCACTGGTTTTTATTTACATTTTCTTTGTCTAATACTTAATATTTAATGTCTAAAAATGTGTTTCTATATTATGAAATACTATGGTTTAAGTCTAACAATGCTGATAGTTCAGAAAACATTAAATCTTGGAAGCCATTTCATTCTCCTTTTAGCTTTATCTGCAAAGGCAGAGAAATTAACTTTACAATCAGTAAAGTGTGCAATGCAGTGCTACTTTCATCTTCAATATTGTATTGTCTGTACCAGGATTCTAATGACTTCAAACAGCTTCTCTGCAAATGTCCCTTAGCAGATAATGAAAACTTTTAAATGATGGGAACTTAACATGAGCAATTTCTCTCTCCTTTTAATGGGAAAACAAAATCAAACTTAATAACCCTCAATAAAGCTAGCAAACAGATACACATCAACTTGAATATTTATATTTTAATAAATAAAAATCAATCAACTGACACTTTATGTTAACCAGAAGCAGCATGGAGCAGTTAATGAGCACAGCTAAAATACAGCTTTTCATTTTCTGCCATGGTAAGAAGGCACATTAGGAGCAACAGTATGAAAAAAACAACTCAATGAGAATAGCGCTGAAAAGAAGCATTTATAGTTGTCTTTTTCCTTTTATGAACACTAATTTGTTTCTGATAAACACCTCTCTAGCAGCAAGTCAGCTGAAAAATGCAATTAAATAATTTGCCTGATTACATCAGGTTGAAATAGTGAACAAGACCTGACTGAATTAATCAATTGTTTAAGAACTACACATATTCTTCAAATAACACTTGTAAGACTATACCAAAAACTGAAATGGTAAGAAAATTGATACTAGAAACAAGATATTCAGGCATTTAATTGAAAGGTATGTTTAATGAGAATAAAAATTACCCTAAATGAAGACTCTAACAAAAATCTAAAATGTCAATAATTTTTTGAACCTCAGGAAATACTCAGAATCAACTGATTCCTTTAGAGAAATCCATTCAGTTTCTGATAAACTTACACTGCTCTTGTTTAACTTTTTTTACAAGGCAAGCTACTTACCCAGAACTGTCACTTCATAGTACCCAAGGCCATTAGCACTTTTAAACTCATTGATGTTTTTATCTGTCCTGGCTTCTATTGGCTGGTGCACTGATGCATGAAGGTTGTACTGTTGCATAAGTAAGTCTTTGTGCACATAATCAAATTTACATGGGATACTTTCTGGGAAGATTTTGCCGTGATGAAAATAATTCATTAACTTGTCTTTCACTTGTGCCCACAGGTCACTCTGCCAGGAATCACAAGTTCTTCCAGTCTCTTCAGTTTCAGGTATATTACTTACTTCTTCTTGATCTATTATAAGCACAGAAAACATTTAGTTGCTTAGATGCTTATATAATTGCATCACTCTTCTGTTAAGATAGAAATAATTTTCATTAGAACATTTCAATTATGAAGACATGGCAGAAATTAAAAGGGCCAAGAGAAAATGTGAGGTCTTATCCCATTAAGAGCTTCTGAGATACTAAACTAACTTAAAACTTGTATAAAGATACACTGAAAATTTATTGCCCATAATGGGAAACAATACAATACTGTCCTTTCAGCCTTCCCTAGACACAGCAGGGAACACTGAGTAGAATGACATTGATGATACATTACTACAGTGGTTCTCCAGAGGCTGATGCAGCCAGATATATACAGAGGAACTGTCTTAACAGAGGTTATAAAGATATCTTTGTTTTGATATCTTCTTTCTGAAGAAAAGAAGCAGTCTGAAACCTCCTAAGGTTAATATAACGACTATTTGCAACATACCTGTGCAGCATTGCAAACTGTCTGACACAGCCTGTCCATTTTTATCTTGCACAGAATGTCCATGTTGATATTCATCTAAGCTACAAAAAGAAAGTTATAGTGTGTGTACAAATATATATATAAAGTTATTTATCATAAACCTAATTAACCTCAAACTCCTTGCAGCAAAAGACAGACTTCTAGTGAATGATAGTAAATGATATGAGCTCAAGTGAATGAGCTGATTCCTTATTGTGAGAGTTTCATACAGCAGCTAGACACAACGAGATCCCCTGAGCTCAGTAATCAGCTTAGCAGAGCTCGGGACTAGCCCTGCCTGATTCCTGGCCTTGGGAAACGGATGAGGAAGGGTTTTACACTCACAGCCCGGTGTCTGCTGCCCTCTACCGGCAGCTGGCGGAAATACCACGTGTGACACAGCCAAACACCACAGGTGACCAACAGGTGACTCGATCGCAAAAATCTGGTGCTCAGCATGCGGCTGCACTGTCCTGTCATCCCCCTCAGCACCCAGAAACACAGCATGAATAGAGCCATGTCACTACTCCGGAATCCAAAATGACAGAAATGCCAAATCTCTATTTTCCTGTGGACATACTGTCCTGTTGTAATGATCAGTTCAATCAACCAAGCTAGATACTTGTAAAGACTTCATTTTTTTAACCATAAAGTTTTGAATTAATGGTAAGAAACTATTCTTTATCAATCTCTAATAAATTACCTATGAGATTATGCAGGAGGATAACATAAGAGGTACTCTGCAAGCAAACACGGTAACGTAAGCTCTTAGCCCCATTTATTCCTTTCTTCTTTGATCCGTTCCTCTTATTAGAATAAAACTCACCGTAATGTCTGAAAAAACTTAGGGAAAGGACTATCTTGATTACCTTGCATCACAAACAACTGCAACAGGTAAGACTTTGTTAAGGTACCATTAAAATTCTACACTATCAAAGTATTTAATAATAGCTACAAGATACTGACACAGTAAAATAGGAATCAAAAATTTGATACTCTTTAGTGGGCCATACTGTATTTCATAAAGATTCACAGGTTTTTAGATATTTTTTTCTATTTTATACCAGGGTGCATCTTGAAAATTTCATGTCAACATTTCATAACAAATGAAAAATATCTAAAATAGTATCTAGTGGAAAGAGAAAAAGAAAATACTCTGTGTGTTTTGAGTATGAAAGTATATTTTACAAAATGCACTCCCATCATGGCTATATCATCACTGAAGTGACCTGCTTGTAATATCCAAATCTAGGCACAAAAGAATCCTCGCTTAAGCAGTACAACCTGTGCAATTAATTTTTTTAAAATAAATTTTTATTTTTGAGCTTTGGACCTGTCCAATAATGAAACCCCAGCAATGTTAAGAAAGGCTTGCTCAGAAACTAACGTGTCAAGTTAGATACATGCCAACTTCTCTCCTCATTAAGGCACAGGATTAAACCAAGTCATACTGCTGACAAGTTGATATCATGGAAAGTGGATATCATGGTTTTTTTATTTTTAAGTTGTCTAGTTTTGGAAGTGAATGGGCTCTGATTGAAAGCAAGCAGAGCCTCAGGAAGTCTCTACACACAGGCCAGGTGCTTCCTTGAGAACCACTATGTCTGCAATGCACCTGAGGCCACCCAAATCCTTCCACTTACAGCAGTGTGCTCCTGCTGCTGTACACCAAAACGCCCACAGCCTATTTTATGCATGCCAGCTTTAGGAGAACTTGGGCCCTGCCAGATTTGCTGTTTCCAGCTTGCACTCTGCAGGCCTCCCTTTTTCACAGATGCCCATTTGCAAAAAAGCCTTTCTCCATAATTTTCAGATACATTGATATTCAACTTGCAAGTCATTTTACTTTAAAGTATTGTCATTGAAAATAACATCAATCAAAATATATGGCAGATCAGTTTTTCAGAAACTCTTGGGAAAATAAGCATGTCCCATGCTTCACACCTGTTTTCTAAGTGCTGGGACTAAATGTGATAAATGAAATTAAGAAAAAAAATAGTTATGACTCACAACTGTGCCCAAACAATGCAAGGAAGTAAAGTGCCTCAAAACAGCACAACAAAACATACCACTCAACTGATAAAACTGGTAAAACTTATTTTATAGAATGGTTTGAAATTAACTAACTGTTCTGACACCATTGTGGTAAACACATCTACCACAGCAAGTAACAGAGAGACCAAACAGCCTTTTATGATAACTAGACGTGTCTACACAAATTGATTTTTGGTATCTACTAATTTCTCCCTGACAAATTCTGATTTATGTGAAAAAGGGTTGTGAAGGAAATATCATGTGCTGTGAAACTTCTGGTCATACAAACCTCAAGATGAATTTCCCTATATTATAGAGTCCCCATTCTCTAGCTGTCACATCCATGGGAAGGGAAAAGGACAAAAGGGTCCACGTGACAAAAAAATACAAAAGTGAAACTGCAAGGATAGAAGCATGCAAATAAGTTCATTTCAAGCAGTATGGAGTGGGAGCATGTAGCTCAGCAATTCCATGGTTACATGCTAAATTTACAAAGATTAAAATTCCAAGAAAACTACTGTGCTTTTTTTACTTCCACATAAAAATAATCCTTTCTGAAATTCCTGATCTTTCCTCATTCACAATCACTTCATTCTCTATAAATTAAATTACTTTGGAGTACATTAAATGCTTTGAAGTACCATTATGTGGACAGTCTTTACTAGCAAGGATGTAAATATCAACAATAATACTAAATTACCCAGTTTCTTTGTTTTTTCTGAAACTCTTAAAAATCAGGTAAGCTACCTCAGAAATGCAGGAACTGTAGCTGTCAATAAAAAGCCTCAAAATAAGCTCTTACTGCTTAAAAAACCCCAAAATGCAAACATGTACTGAAAATAACATAAAAAAACTTGATACAGAATATTGTAAGTTAGAATATGTATTTTAAAACAATCTCTACTATTGGAATCTATGATTCTTGTGATCCTTCCAACCCAGAATATTCTGTGAAATATGTGAAGTTTGTTAAAACTACTGTTGCTATTTCATGAACGTATTAAAGTATTTCAGTGAGAGCTGACATTCTGCTACATCTAAGGAATAGAAAACAATGTAATTTTAAAGTATGTCAGCAAACTTTCTATTTTCCTTTGGCAATTTGGAGAATTCAGCACAATTCTATAGTTAGTTACAGAAATACATGAGTTACCTTTTAATTTTATAGAGTGAAACAGCTTTCCATAATCCAACAGAGACTTTCTCCTCCTTTAGCTGGGGTTCTAGCACTAATGGCATAGAGTGGACACACAGGTAGCGAGGAGAGTAGCAGATTGAGAAAAGCAGAGAACAAAGTAAACATGCCTTAACTTCAGGCTTCACCTACAAGAAATGGGGAGAAAAATTCTTTCTCTCCTCCCACCCCACCCTGGAAAAAGCGGAACATTTCTCAGCAAGCAAAAGAAAACAGAATTCCTTACAGTTAAGGAAAACCTTGATTTTCCTATGGATTTGGTCCACAAGTCTCTGCAAACTCCTGCAAACTCCTGCAGAACTGTAACCTTAAAGCCAGGTGACTCTTAACGAACCAGCTGCAAAGTCAGGTAACCATTTCTTCTAGAAATACAGTTTCTACCAAAAGGACTAGGAAACAACAGACATGTGGGTTCAAAAGAGCCTCGTTTATCCCAAAGAAACAGCTGATGCAAATTAGCTTCCAATAAATGTGTTTCAAGAAAATAGGCACGCTTCTAGGGAGGCTATACTGGCAGAATGGTCAACAACTTTGATCAGCTCCCTGATTACCACCGTTGCCCTATTCCTAGCACCATGATCCTTGGATTTAGGGGAGAAAAGGAAGAGATGTCAAAAGTAAGCCAAAAAGGCAACTGAGCCGTATATGTAGTGATGACACAAATCCAGATCACTGCCAAAATATGCAAACATCTTAACTTACTGACACCAAGGAGTTCAAACTTTCAAGCTGCTCATTTTCTGTCTGGAACAAGAATTTATGACCCTTAAACAACATACACAAAGGAAAGCAGCTTGTAGCCTCTGGTTAACAAATGAAAGCACTCATTCCATTTTATTAATAATTTCCCTTTTGTAGTTATTTCACTAGGTTGCAGACTTGACAGGGCTCTGGATTTGAAATTCTTATCTGGACTTCAAAAAGAACCCACCTTCTCTGGATCCAAACTGAGTTATGTAATAACTGAGTGTTGGGGAGTGAAAGGAGCCAGGGGATTGGCTTTCCAGGGCAACTACACTTACACTTCTGTAGCATCAAGAAAAATGTACAGCTCAGCCACCACCACCAAATCCATTAATTACCATGATGAATCTCTGTTATTATATATTCCCTTAGCAGTAGTAGTAGCAGTGTAATATGTTTAATAACACACTCAAAAATATGATTCAGATATATTTAGAGTTGGTGCAGATGAGTGAATAGAAAACATGAAACTCTACCCAGATCTGCTCCTTCATTTTAATTCCTTAGAGAATTCTCGATCTGTAAAATTTTTACTCAGAGTATTTTTGCTTGATTATTGCAATTATTCAACACAATTCATTTCACATGACTTACCCAAGTTTTCTTCTTACAGTCCGCGTAAAATAGGAGTAAGATGATCCAGGACTAACAGAAGTACCTCCCCTTAAAGTAGGAAATTCACCATTATTTTTCAGTATCTATTTAGATGGAAATTCACAAAGCAAGGGGCTTTGATGTTTTTCTTTCAGGCAGAACTTAACTAAGACATTCAAATGCTGGAAGTTTTCATATAGAACAGAATCCACTAAGTTTGCTATAACACTGCCAAGACAGAACTTCTATTTACTGAGGCTTTATTAATATGCAATTTTATTTCAATCCTAATTATATTTTATTTCATTTCCCCTCAAAATATTCTAAATATCCACTCTCTTCACACATTATGACTTAGGGATGTGAAAAGAAAAGAAGAAAAATATACCCTTTATAGTATGAGAAATCCACTGCAAAAAAAACAGATGTGACTACCCTGACTTTTCAAACTTCCATCTGTCAATGTATACACCAGACTCTCAATAGTGAGTAGGGGTGTAATAGATTTTACATGTGTTGCAACAAAGAGCAGTCTTATGCAAACAGTTACTTTACTCCTGGATCTAACACAGCTGTATCAGAAAAAATACATTTTGAACCCTTAGGTTAGCACATGACCATCACACACATCTACTTTCCTTTCTGACAGCAAGTTACAGTTACATGCAGTACATCACATTTCCCAGAAATCAAAAATAAGGTGTTTGAAATTAAGGAACAGGTATACCTGATTCTGCATTTTCAGTCAAGAAATCTGATTTCCTCACACCACTGTAACTGTTGTTTGCTCCACAGCTATGTCACTAAACTACATTTGGTTCAAGTATTAACTACTTTTATTTCAAATCTGTGAGCTTAACAACAAAATGGTATAAATATTAATCAGAAGAGAGCCATGCAAGCCTACTTTAGTTAATCCTTCATTAACATGAACAGTATAATTGTCTTCACCTGAGCCTAGGAAAAGTACATAGCTACATTTTAAAGATTCAACTATATATGCTTTTAAAGCCTTCTTAAGTATTTTCTACAGCCCGGGCTCCAGCCTAATTTCTGAAAACACTTTTTAGAAGAACCGCCACATATTTATGAAGAGAGCTTACTGTTCTGCATCTCTTCTGAATCTGCGTGTTGTCTTTCTCTTGACTGAACCCCCCTTTGACAGCAGAGCTTGGTGCTGATGCTCTTCAGGAGTACAGGGTGGCCCCAGAAAAGACTTAACTTCTTCATTTTTCCCCTTGTCAACACAGTCTTCTTTGGACACAGAAGAACTTCCAAGAGACAGAGAAGTATCCTTCTGCAACAACAGTTAATTATTTAAGACTTTCAATGCACTTAAAGCTATTTCTTCCAACTCAAAAATCTTCAAATATCTGACAGTGACCTTTCATCTAGCAGAAATGTAAATTCTGTCTAGAAAGTGACAAGTGAGCATGTTGCAGCAGTTGACTCTCCCACACTCCAATTTACATCAGGTTATCAGTCAAACCAGTAACTTTTAAACACAACTTTTACAGAGGATTGCCAAAATACTTTCAGAGAAGCACTGAATCTTTGCTTTTTAAAATTTTGCTCTCAAAAATAAGATTAAGAGACAATGTAACTGGGTTCTGAACTTGAATGCAAAATTCTCCATTTGAATGACAATCATAGCTGCTTTGGCATTAACTCTCACACACCTGGACAAGTTCCCCTCCTGGGGCTTCTTCAGCTGCATCGTTACAGCTTTTGTATCTTATGGCACTGATTATTCCCTGAACAGCAATTCGCTTGTGTTCTCTGTAGTGCAGGTCTTCAATCTCTTTCCCTATTTCACCTATGGGTTTCAAAACTGACTCAACTGCAAAAAAGAAATTTCCAGAATCACGTTTTAGAGAAATATAATACCAAAATCTCTGAACACAAGACTAAAAAGAAGATTTATTTATTTTTTTACTAAATATTAAATTGATTTAAAGTTATGCTTTTAAAGAATTCTAAATCTTTTGGTTTTCCACATCACATAGAAAATAATTAAAACAATAAACTTTTATAGCTCACAAGCATCTGTTAGTATTCATTATCAGACACCACAATTTCTGTTTCAGGTGAAATTTCCAGTTCAATGTACCCTTCAGAATAACTATTTAAAATTTTGATTTAGCAGAATATTCGGAGTAAAATATGCTGGGTATATGTGTAGCTCATGTCAGCTTCTACAATTCTCCTGCAGCTAATGGTGTGGTAGTTTCTGTGAGGTGAGGATTTAGCCTATTAAACATTTAGTCATGAAAGGGAGTTTTTCTTGGATTAAGACTGACTGAAAAAGGCCATAAATCTTACAGATATTTGACATATAATACCTTCGTTGTTTTTACAATATTTCAAAAAGCTATCAGGAGGTCGTGGAAAAGGGTAATAGCCACCGATGACAGTTTTCTTTATTTGATCAGCTTCACTTTGCGATTTCATCCACTGAATGAAGCTTTTCACTTTGGCATCCTTGGTGTATGGCTGGCCCTTGTGCCACCCTTTTAACACAAAAATAATCAGGTATCAAAACCAAAGCAGGTTACTGAAATTTGTTGCCATTTTGAAACTTTCCTGAACACTACCTAGAAAAAAACAAATTGAGAAAATCTTGACTAGAGAGTATAAAAGAGTATTTTATTTTTTGTCAAGAGTGTTTCATAAAATGAGTACCTTGAATTCCCTGACTACACTTGCATTTGACACTGAAAATCAGACAAACATTAAATAACAGAAAAAAACAAAACAACTAGCAAAAAAGCTCCTAGAATAGGAAAGCTTCAAGTGTTTTTTAATGTTTTAAGTAAATGGTAATCATGATTGCTACCCTATCAAAAGATTAACAGCCTGAAAGAATTAGTAAAATGTATGTCTTAACCTAGAAATACTTTTCACAAGATTAAGCCATTTTAATGCCTCACAAGAATCCCATTTGCCTTCTTCTTTTCTGCAGTGATGTTTCATTATTACCTCATAGTCCGCACTGATTATTTTGCTGTAAAATGAAAATATCCTTTCCAAAGAAATAGAAATACAACTAGAACTAGTTTAAGTTACCTGTAATGAATATTTGACTTTCATTTGAAGTTGTAAGGTAAACTGTCCTGGAAGGATTCTCAGTGAGGCCCTGGATCACTCTCATCTGTGTACACACCAAGTATGTCACTGCAGAAAAAAAAAAAAACACTTAATTTTTTTTTTTTTTTTGACAGTTCATTAATTTTAGAATGGCAAGACTGATATACACTGGATTAATTTTAAGTACTCTAAACAAGACAATTTAGTTCTTGACCCTACAAATGTTTTACGTATGTTTTGAGTCTCCATTATAAATTACCATATGGACATGCAATTAAATCTTCAATTTAATTTCAGCATAGATATTACAGCTAAAACATGAGGATATCATTGAAACAAATAGTACAAATATTGGACTTAGATGGATCTGTTTCTTAAGGATAAAAAGTATAAAATCAAGAGAAATTATTGCAAGCTACTGTAAAACTTCTAAACAGAGCTCAAACTCACTCTTTTGTTAGTATCTCAGTTTAACACTGGAATGTCATTCTCTCCCACTATCCCAGAACACTCAAGATGAATGCAGCCATAATCTTAGCAGGACTGTGCAGCTGGTGCTGCATAAAATGATATAAAAAATGCATATCAACACCAAGCAGTGTTAAAAAAAGGATCAGTGCTTGGAGGAAAAGAGAAAGAAGGCGAGAAAAAATATTTAAAGCTCTTTTAAAATCCTTCATTAAGGATTCCCTAGTTTGAAATGTATTACTCTTAGCTCATGTGTGATAACTAACACAGCTGGGTGATGATTGCTGTTAGGGCAAAAAACACTGGTTCAAAGAAATTAAGCTTTTGCACTTTCACCTCTATCTTCATTCAATCCTCTTAAATTATTCCTGTCTACAAAAAACCCAGTATTTATAGGTCAAGAGGAACAAGAGATTTGACCAGCCACTGCCTTTAATTGCCTCTGATGCAAGAGATGTTACCCAGGTGCTTAATAGAAACATCTGAAATTAAGAATTTCAGAGGAGCCCCAGGCCCAGCTGTCCATCTAACTGACAGACTGCAATTTGTAAGGGTTTCAAATATTTAAACTATTTTTTATACCTAAATTTTAATTTCTAATCAACTATCTTCTGCTTGAGGAGATAATCATGGCATTTTTTTATTCAATGACAACTAAGCTCAGGATTAGAAATTCACAATGAACCAGAAAAACATTGTAAATAATTATTAGTAAGTATAATAGAGAGCTGAATACTTGGATGAATACGCTCAAACACATCTGGCTGAGAAGTTGCAAACAATTCCAGTATGAATGGTTGGTCTGAGGTCCCATCAATGGCATGTGCCCAGCGATACAGCCAGAAGTCTTCACTGTGTTCTATATATAAACAAATATATAGAAAAATATATAAGCATTTACTTAGAAATTCAGAAACTATTTGATAAATTCTGAAAGTCATATTTATAGAAAAACCTCTTTTTCTGGCTCGCTCAGCCCTTCCTACAAACGTCACAAGACCAATAACATCACAGGAATGATTGTGCGGTAAGTCATCCAGTTCTGACCTAAAACCAAAGTAGAAGAAAGCTGGGTAAGCTTTCTCAGAAACTTTGCAAAAACCATTTCCAATTAACATTCACTGTAAAGTAGTGCAGTTTAAATTCCCGTTTGATAACCAACAAAATTCTATTTTACCTTGTGATAAACCTATATTTAACTTCAGGTAATCCCCACTCTGGCTTAACCATTTCTTCTGGAATAATACTTATTTCAGTAGGAGGAAAAGTTTCTTAAATATTTCAACTTTGTGAAATTATTAGTTTATCTGAGTTCAGGTTTTCATCAGTATAAAGTAAGGAATTCACGTACAACAAAGCAATTTTATCATCTGAGTAATGTTAAACTTTCCAACTGTTTACAAGAGCCAACTAGTCCAATCCAGACAGTATTTTAACAGGAACAAATCCAACCATACTGATTAGATACCAAAGTATTTTTTACACTAGCTTTGTTGTCAAATGTGGGTAAGGTCTGAAACTGATGTGCAGACATCAAAGTAAAACAGAACTAGCCCAAGAGAATTTCCATATTTGATGCCAGTTCAGGTAATTATTAATAGGATACAAATATACCATGGCCATGGAAGAAAACAAAAGGTCTTCTCATGCCTACTCTATAGCAACTGAAAATTTTAATTTATTAATCAGACTGTTTAGATGCTAAATTATAAACATGGTGGAACACTGGGGCAAGCAAAGTGTTCTTCAACCAGATTAAAAAATACAGAAAGAAGGGCTTCAGCTTCTAGAATATACAGAGCAGCACTCTATGATCTCATGACAAATCTTGCTGGTATATAAAACACAGATTCTGATGAAGTTTCTTGGGTTTGAGTAAGGGATTATTCAAATAATGCATCCAGAAAAGTAATTAGGTAGATATAAATAATGAATACAACTGTTTACATAATTATATCTGGTGCCTCAGACTGGAAGTGCAACATTAGGAAGGTGTTCTATTTAAAGTCAGACCCTCTAGTTAGGAATATTCACTAGGCTTCTGCTTTCTAGAAATGTATTTGGAGGACAATTGTTGTTTTGCATATGGTCTTTTAGTACAGTATTGCTGAGAAAATTCCTGAAACAAAACTTTCCCATGCATCAAAACTATCTCTCAATTGTTTCATTATTTTGAGATTAGATGAAAGTCATACACTCAGGTCAGGATTATACCCTGGGATGAGTCAGGAGCTGAGGTGAGTCCAGGCTGTCATCAGCGCCACACAAATTCAGTGATGTGTGAAACTGAAACGTGCACACTGCCTGGCAGTAGAATTCATGACATTAGCACTAAGTTGCAAAGGTTTTAAATTGTGAAACGACACTTCTCAGCAAGTCCCACAATGCTGCAGCTGCAAACAGGGGCCAGCAATGCAGAGCTCTCTCCACAGAATGGAGCCTAAAGCATAGCACCTTACAGGACTCTCAATTTGGAAACCCTTTAACACTGGGGACTTGATAACTCCTCAGATACATTGTACAATATTTGCAGTTGAATGGTTCTAAGAACACACTGGAAAGCTGGAATTCAATGAAATTACAAATTGAAAAAAAAATAAAGAAAAAAGTAATTGTTACATAAGTGATTCAGTGTAATTGAAACCTGAAATATTGCCCCACATTGGGCATATACAGAGATATTTAGTGAGGTAATAAACTTCACTTCATCTGAACAAAAAAAACCCCAATGCTCCTGCAATGGAAGTTGCACAAAATCCACGTTACAAATGCCCTAGACTTTTTTTGGATATTCTGTTCTCTTGTGACTCTCTTCTTATCAAACATATACCATCCATCCATGGATCATGGGATCATGTGAATTCATATTAAGACAAAATTCTCAGCTTTGTGCAAAGAACTGGAGTTCTGTATATAACTTTGTATGAACCAAAGATTTACAGTTTCTGCAGCTTATCTGTGCACTGTGGCACTTTTCAATGGAATGACTTCTAGTTCTTACATTACACAGCTATTACCCTTTATAGCCCAGTAGCTGAATTGGCCATTTTGATCTCTTTGTTCCCACTTCTGCCCCAATTACACTTGTCAGAAATCAGATGTGCAGAGTGATTAAGGCCATGAAAATGCAGAGATAATTACCCATAGAGAAAGTCACCTCAGATGGCATATGTTATTCTGTCTTCTTTGCATAGAAAGGTTTTGTGGCAATTGTAATTGTTTTCAGGGTTGGCTTGTAATTGTCATCACTTTCCCTCACAAACTTCCATTCCTGGCTAAACATTTCTATTTCCTGCCAAGTCATCACAAATACTTCAGACAGTGAGATCTGGTTTTAATGCAAATATTTATCAGTCAGGAAAATTTTGTTTCTGGCAGTGAAAACATTGCTTATTTTTGTGCACTGTAGCAACTCCATTAGGAAACTATCATTGTTAGTAAGTGATACATATATCACCCTTCACCAACATGCATATTGTTTCAAGAATTAATTTGAATGTTGCGTGTCATTTCATTCTAAGTTGAAAAGCACAAAATGGGAAAGAGTTCATATAGTGTGAAGGAGGAGCAACTCTGGGCAACCTGTGCCAACCCAAAATTGATCAAACCCAGTTTGAAGAGGTCATTTATGTTATATTGCAGGACTTGTATTTTTGTAGTATAGCTTCTTTGAGTATCTGCCACACTAAACAACTGGCAAGTAAGAAAATGCTTTTTCATAGCCTAGGAATAGTCTTCATAAACACACTCCCACGGTGATGCTCTTTCAACACTTTGATGCAACTTTTGAATTTTGATGCAACAATGGAAAAATCAACTTTTTATTTTGTGGAGCTGTGCAGATACTCTGGGCTTGACAGTATACACTAAAATCTAAAGTCAGATGAGGTGATAATGACCTGGAAAAAGGTGTGAGCAGTGTACAAGTCATATGTGTATTATAAGGCAGGAAGGAGAATCCGATGAAAATCCATTACCAGAGGCCTATCTTTGTAATCTCAGTTCCCAATACCAGGGATTCTTTTTTTATTTCTTTATTTTTTAAATAAAGGTTTTAACTAATTGTAGCAGTAAACTTTGTAGACATTATTCAATATCAATGGGGAACAGCAAGAAACTGGATGCTCAGACACCTTTCAAAGGCACTAGTAAAGGATTTACACCTTATCAATTAGTCTCATCAATGGATCACTTTCTATTTTATTTCTATGGAGAACTACTTTGCAAAGCTGTATTTCATCGATTTGAAACAGGTTTCTGCAATACTTAACCAATTGTAGCAAATCTCTTCATCTGTGAATCCCCTGGGGTGGGGTGTGTTTTAAACGGGTAACTGGTTTTGATGGCATACTTGGCAAGGAGGAGCACTGTGCCAACCTTCATACTGTGATACCATTCAGGACACAGTGAATTCCACAAAACCATTGACATCATGCCTGAGCCATCAGCAACTTCAAAGTAAGCCTGAAGAAAAAAAGAGACAATATACAGTAATCTTATTTATTATCATTCTGGTATGTATTTATTTTGGATCATGCACCAGGCACTTGACTCAAACGATTTCTCTGTTACAAATGGATATAGAGGATGTTCCAGAACTTGTACTGAATTCTAGAGCTGAAAAAAATCCCCAGTTTTTAAACCAGGCAAATGCTGAACTTGAAACTGAGCAGATCACTCAGTAGTAGGAAAAGATTTTTAAACTACCCACCACACCTCCAGTCTCTTTTTCTAAGAAGTTCAACACAAAAATATCACAAGTTAAATATATTAGAAAAATAATTAAGAATTTTACAGTAAAATAATCTATCTTAAAGTCACCAGATGAGAGAATCAGGGCCTAGAAATAATTTAAATATATTTTATTTTTTTGACAGGACATACTAACTCCAGCTTTCAAAGCATTGAGACCAGAAATGCCAAGCTATTAAAATACTAACATCTCAAAGTATCTTTTTCTTCACAAATAGCTAAAATGAACTTAGTAATAATTTAGTAACTGAATAATAATAATAATAATTTAGTAACTGAAACACATCCACTAAAGTTTGTACATTTTAGTAACTGAAACACATCCACTAAAGTTTGTACATGTATGATCACAAAATTCAGCATTTCCTGCTCTAGAGTGCTCAATATTTTTGTAAAGGCAGCATTTTCCATATAAAATAGCTAAAAAATAACTTCATGTGCTTACTATATGGGAAAAAATATTTTCAAATATCCTACAGCAATTTGTTTGAGTGTTAACCTATGCATTTATCCCTCTTTACCTGATAAGGCATATCCATTTTTTTCTCTGGTTTTCCATAGTACCTTAATCTAGATTTGTGCAGGATTCTCACAAGAAGTGGATGGAAATGGACTCTGCTTCTCCATGTCATTTCCAGGTGACCAAGATTAGTCAGTTTGGAGACTAAGGTTAAAAGGAGGGGAAAAGAAAAGACCAAAAAAGAACACTCATGATTGAACATGTAAGTTTGAATGAACATAAACATGAACATAAAGTGCAAGGATGTGACATGTATTAATGTTTCTAACATTTAGAAAGGGTCATTTGCTGGTATCATTCACCAATAAATTCTGTTATGAACTATCTGCGTGCAGCATAGTTTTGCTTTCTTTTTTTTAAATTGAGAACAATGACACATTTTAAATGACTCAGAAGTGTTGTCAGATGAGCAGAAGGGCTTTTACAAAAACCACAGGTGTCAGCTTACAAGGGCATCACACTCATGCAGAAGTCCTGTTATACCCCTCTCCTCACCAGGCTTCATGGAATGGCCTGAGCCCTTCAACAGTGACCACATTTGGGGTGGCAGCTTTTAGGTGTGAGCATCCTGCTCAACAGACTAGCCAAGAGACTACTATTGCACCCAGTGGTTTTGATACCTCAGACGACTGGGCACAAGTATCACAGCTACATATTTTCAGCCAATGTTTCATACCGTTTAAAAACCTCAAAGCAACAAAGAATCACAGAACGGGTTGGGTTTTGAAAGGGGTCATCTCGTTCCAACACTCTGCCACGGGAGGGACAAGCTCCACCAGGCCAGGTTGCCCAGAGCCCCATCCACGCTGGTCTTCAATACTCCCAGGGATAGAGCATCTACAAGCTGGCAACTCTGGGCAACCTGTGCCAGGGCCTCACCATTCTCCTAGGGAAGAGGTTTTTCCTACAGGAGCAGGTGAACTGTGACACAAGTGGCACATTGCCAGTGGGGCCAAAGACAGCTAGAGGATACCAGGGTGCTCAGCCCAGCTGCACGAGCAATCACAGAATCAGGTAGGAAAAGACGCCTAAAATCATCGGTATGACCAAACACCACCCTGTCAACCAGGCCGTGGCACCAAGTGCCACAGCCAGTCTTGTGTTCAATACCTCCAGGGTAACTTTATCACCTCCCTGGGCAGCCCGTTCCAATGTCCAATCATCCTTTCTGAGAAGGAATTCTTCCTAATGTGCGAGCTAAACCTTCACTTAAGACTACATGCCCTTGCACTGCCGCTAGTTGCCTGGGAGAAGAGCCCGAGCCCCACCCAACTGGCTACACCCTCCCGTCAGGTGATGGTAGAAAGCGAAAAGGATCCCCGAGCCTCCTCCAGGCTGAGCCCCCCCAGCTCTCTCAGCCTCCCCTCATAGGACTTGTGCTCCCGACCCTTCCCCAGCTCCGCCGCCCAACAAAAGGCAAACAACGGCACCGCCCCCTCCCTCTGTGTGCCCCGGAACGCCTCAGGGCGTCCCTCCGCACTCCTACAGCCGCGTCCTCCGGGCTCACCGTCCACGTCCACCTGCACCGGGGGCCTGTCCGGCACCCACACGTCTCCATAGGGATCCTCGTTGTTCCAGAGCGGCAGGTAGTGCCTATTATCCCCGCGGAGCGGCAGAAGCGGGCGCTGCCCGTCGGGCGGGGTGGCCGCGGCGGCGGTGGCGGTGCCCCCGGCCCGCTCCAGCCCCTCCAGGCAGAGGAAGCCGCGGTTCAGGCGCTTCTCGTCGTAGCGATACGAGCAGCACGTCAGGCGG